ATTTTGCTATATAACTCTTTAAAGTTTGCATTTTCTTATGATTTATTATAAGATTTATAACATAAAAATTGATTTTCCGAAGATCTTTTTTTTTGTCAATTTCGTCCCTTTTTGCAGCACCTAGCCCATATAATCTTTATATAATTTAAATAAATAATTTATGATATCTAATTTTTAAAAATATGTATCTTGATAAATATCTATTCAAATTTAATAAATTTATTACTATTAGAATCAGAAAAACTTATTCTATAATTTTTAATTAATTTTTAAAAGCTATTTGCTTAATAAAATATTTTTTATTTTTAATTAAAAAAAATTTTATTATAAGTTTTATATATAATTTACAAATTGTATCCTCTACCTTTAAGATTAAAGCCACTTCTATTTACTTATATCGATCATCCCGACCCCCAACTTATTATATCGATACTTCGATTAATCATCCCTATCTCTTGTTATACTCCAGATATCGATATCCCTTTCTAATCATCCCTCAATATAGATTAATCTAACTTATACCATTATATTAATTCACTCTTCTAATTTCCCACATAATCTCAGTGATTCTTACCTATAACCCTGTTAACCATTGGAACTAAACTCTGCACTACGTTCGCTCTCTCAATTTACAATAGTAACAATGCTTCGCATTAAATAACTATATATTATTTGATCAGAAATTGTAAGCCCAATAATGAATTGCATATTTTACTTATAAATTTTGCACGTACAGTTTGTACCTGATTGTAACTTGATTAGACCACACAAAATTGAATTTTCGTTTTGCATTACATGAAATTCTAAAATCTGGGCGAACGAATTTTTTTTTTTTTAGTAAATTTATAAATTTAAAAACCTGTAGTTATAGTCTTCGTTTAGTGTCCTATCGGATAATTCCGGAAAATTAAGGTCACATCGGGCAACACCGGATAAAAAAGATGGAAAAATAAACATCAAAAATGGGAAATTCTATAGAGTAAGTGGACAAACTCCGCTAAACTCCGCCAAATATATTAAAAAATTCATGATTACTAATCATTAGCGATTAAGGATTGTGAAAATTTGGGGCTGGTAATGCAAAACGAAAAACCAACTTTCAATGGCTTTACTTATATATTTTTTGTACATGTTTAATTATAATTGTAACCTAATTAATTATAAATTTTGTACATATGTACGTACCAGATTACTTATCAGTTAATAACTGATAAATTTTTTTGTACGTATGTACAGTACGTACGTACGTCCTAATTATAACTTATAATCATTAATCACTATGTTTCAACTGGATATTTTCGCTCATATATGTAAAAGTATATTTGCTAATTTTGATATCAAAAATTTTTAATTTTATGATAAAGTCGAAAATTTTATATTATAGTAAATTGCAATTAATTTTATTGCAATTATTTTTTTTAAATTGATTTTAATTGTGTAATAATTTAATTTCAATCGAATTACCTATATTCACCTTACTAATCAAATGTATAAAAAAGTCAAAAAAAAAAAAGACGTATAAATATTTATTTTTAATCTAAGTATAATAATAATAATACTAATAAACATATTATATAGTAACTAAATAAAATTTAAACGGTAAAAATTTGGTCACAACAAAACTCAGTAAAAGCTTAATAATAAAATCAATACGTATAAAATTTTTTTGAATATTTTGAATTGTCCCGAAGTGTTTTTTTCGATACATTTATAGTAAGATTATCAATAACTATAAATTTTATCGTTTTGTATATTTATTTTGCAATACAACAGATGCCAAGATCTGTATATTACCCAAAAAATTTCTTCTAAATTTCTATTAATCCAAAACGTTTTTTTATTTTTTAAAAAAAAACAAATACTGTAGAAATGTAAAAAAAATTTTGTGCATTAATATAATATGAGTTCGAAACGAACCATATTTTTTTATTAATATAAAGCAAAAATTTTGAGAATAATATTAATTTACAGTAATTAAATTATGTTACGTTCTATAAATTTCTTATTAAATAAAAAAAAAAAAAAAAATTAAAGCATAAGTTACGTTAATTGTGATAAATTAAAAAATTCAGAGATAAATCGACAAAAGTTTCTAAAATTTGAGGATCGATCATGTGAGAGCTTGTCCTGCAAACATTTGTACTCGTAAATTAGGTAACCTATTAATCTTTTATTTGATGTATGTACGTACGTAAGTTAATATTGTACGTACAAAAATATTAGGTTAACAATTAATCGAATTTTTATATAATAATTCTTAATTTCGTTACGTACGTACAGAAGTGCGCATTGTAAGTGTGTATGCTTGTGTATGAACACACACTTATGCACGAACGCACATAAATACTCTTTATCTAGGTTTTATTATTATAGGTCATTAACATGTGACCTGCATTAAAATTATATGCATGTTTGTATTGGCAATTTGACATATGATTAATTCTGCATAATGAAATAATAACGATGTGTAAAAATAATTAATTTACATTATGCTGTTATGATGTAATTAACATATGGAAAATTAAAAAAGTTCTATAATAGAATTCGATAAAAATAATTTTTTTTTTTAGATTAAAATATCACCTTATTAAAATCACTTTTTTTTGATTTCTCATATTTATCGTTATGGTATTGATAATCTAATTATTAAATAAAAATTCCATATTACAGTAAAATAACAAAATCTACTTGTTGCATCTATAACTCTTGTAACTATCTTATCGGACGGGATCTTTTTGAAAATCTCCGATAAAAACTTTATCTATTAATATTAATACATCACAAACTATTTTCATAATAATAAAATAAATAGAATTTATGTAATACTTTTTTTAACTTTACAATAATGGTTAGTATTTTTGTTAAAAACATACTTGTATAAAATCATATAATTTTAAGGACCTTAATCTTTATTAAATTCTTCTTTTCTGGAATACGTACTGTACGTACCGGTACATGATTTACACAAAAATCATATATAATTATCTTTTTTTACCGCACGTACCAAAAATAGCTACGGAGCAAAAATAATAACAGAAAAGTATTAGGTAAATAAATGATATGTGAAAGAAGAAAGAAATTTTTGTATATTTGCTTGACGAAAATTTATTATTGTATCACTTTGAATACTTGATGTGCTTAATATTTTTTAATAAAAGGAAAAAAAAAATATTTATATTATATTTATTATATTTATTATATTTATATTAATTTTTTTGTCTGAAAATTTGATTCGAAAACAAATAAAGTACCAATAAAAATTTAATAAGGAATTGCCGTATCAAATAAATTATTCATACATAATTGATATATTGTGACCAATTCAAAGGTGGAAAAAACCGGAAAATTAATGATGTACTAGATGCTTTTCAATTAGGTGCATCAGATGAACTTTGACGAATTAAAATTCTAGAATATATGTCTTAAAAGATCTAATAATAATTAAACTTATGCATTTGATGATAACATTTAATTATTAATTTACTTTTTTTTTTATTATTTTTAATTTAATTATGATTTGTCTTTTAAAAATAAATTAATAAAAACGTACTAGTTTCTTTATAATTTTAAATCTTAATCCTTAATTATTATTATTTTTTTTTTGCATAATATTATTTTACTAGAAAGAAATTTACAAAAAATTTAACCTAATAGCTTTTTTTTTTAGTATTTTATAATTCGTAAACATTTTTTGTCTATATTAAAAATTTTTTTATAATTTTTTTAAAACCCCGTGATTTTTTTTTTTTTATATGTACAAAAGAGTACTGTTAATATAATTAAAATAACGAGAAATAAAGGATTAATTTATACAAAAAAACGAAATTTAATAATTCTTCTTTAGGTAGTACCGGAAAATGAAATATTTATAAGAAAAAAAAAAATTAGTTTGTCAAAAATAATGAAAAATTTTAAAAGAGATTTTGCTTTTTAGAAAAAAAAAAATTAGTATAATTTTTTTGTTTGTTTTTTTTAATAAATGTATCACGTGAAAGACGACATTCATTTTTTTAATTGTTCAAATTTAGGAGAATAATCTAAAGACGTTTGTGATTGCGTTACCTATTTTAATATTTTAAATTATGATGCCGATTTTAAAAATCATTATTCGCATGGTTTTTGAACGATAAAGCGCAATCAATCGCAGAAAATATGTCAATTGTAATTTCGGAAAGTTCGTGTTTATTATCGTTAATTGAAGAATAAGAAAATGGTGATCCAGGGGTTTGTGGGTTAGAATCGTGTTGACTGGAAAGAGAGTCAGTATCCAAAGAAGATGTAAAGAAAGTTTGATCATCAAATTGCCTTTGCAAATTTTCGAATATTGATGAAGGTAAATTTTCAGGAAAGATTTGATTAATGTAAGGAGGTGAAGTTTCTTGAATTGATGGTAAAATGTTTGTTTCATGTTGTGAAGAATTTGAAACATTCATTAAATGAATCACATCGCAAGATGACAAATCTGAATTTGTACTCGATTCAGAACTACGACGTGAAGATGAAATTGGTAAACTGGAATCGGTTATGTTGGTCCAATCAATGAATTGACAATCAAAAATTATATGCTGTCCTTGATTTATTTGATTCTTTAATGCATTATCATCATCGCCTTGTCCTACAGATTGGTTTGTATTGTTGGCAGAATGATCATAATTTTCAGGAAACCAAGGGGATTCAGGAGAATTATTAGTTTGTAAATTTGTACTATTTTCACATTGTTCAAAAAAATACGAAGGAGAGGGTACACCAAAAAAATTAAAATCAGAGAAATAACCATCATGATAATTATTTTCGTCATGTAAAATAGGATCAATATCAGAACATGATTTATCCGTATCTTGATCATTTTCAGGTAAAGATTGTAATTCACAATTTTCTTGACTTTGGTTGCTGGAATCTTTTGGCATTGAGATTGTTTGAACATATAATCTTTCAGCTTCACTTGAAATTTGAGTATAAGCATCTTTTACACAAGGAGGTTCTTGTCTCCAAGAATAAGATATCATTGGGGATAATTCGGTCATTGGAAAATTAAGACCACTGGCTTTCAAAAATTGAACATATTCATTCCTATACATAATAAATGCATTAGGAAATCTAGCTAATTTTGGTTTTGATATAAGTTTTTCAACAATCTTTTCCACACGAGTTGCCGGAGGATAAGGTAAAGGCAAGGGAGGTAAAATTGGACGTTCTCTATGAATATCTAATTTGATCTTTTGTTCTCCACGTTGTATTAATTTCATCTTTTTCTGAGTTTCTACACGTTTGCTTGGCAATTTTTTTACTTGAGTCATTATTTTATCGTTTTATGTCAGTATAAAAAAAAAAAAAAAAAAAAGAATTAAAAAGTATGGTTGCTTAAAAAGAAAAGCTTCCATAAAAATGCCTAATAGATAAACGCAACAAAAGATTTTAAAATATATTTTTTAGAGGTTTTATGTAAATTTGGTTTGGTTTGTTTGTGCATCATTTTATTAATAAATATTAATAAAATTACACTAAAAAAAATTTAAAGGATTATTAGTTTATTAAAAAAGAATCAACATTCTTTAAAAAAAAATTGATTATTTACTTTGAATGTGGGGGTAAACTATATCATTATAGGATATTCTTTACTTTAATTGCACGAATCAACTGTACATTTAGATAAAAATTTGAAAGAATAATAGGATATTTTTAGACATTATCTATTTTTGGAAATTATCTATTTTTGGAAGATTTTCGTTCTATAAATAGAATACTACGATCAAATTCCTTTTTAAGAGATTTCATAATTAGAATTGCAGAATTGAAAATAAACAGTTGATTGTAAATCTATCTGGGCAAGTAATGTATAGTAGAACATACATACATATAAGGATTATCTTGCATGAACCATTTTTGTGTTAAAAAAATTCATGCGAACGATCACAAGTTTATATATGCGTTTAATCTAAAAAATTTGCATCTAAAATTTAAATCAGTAAGTTTGTTCTAAATATACTTGTTGGCACAACGTTAAATCAAATAGAAGCCACACAATCTTTAACAACGGTACATATTGCTATGCCGAATGCCGTAATCAATTTTATTCTAGATTTTTGACACTTTTAGTATGAAATAACATTTTGCTTTATTACAAATCATTAACCTATTAATAGGACATAGAAAAACAATATTCAAAATTTTTTTATCGATTTAAAAAGTATTATACAGTAAGAACAAAAAGTAAAAAAGAATTTCGGATTCTGCCACTTTATAGAATTTCTTTCATTTTTTTTGACTGCTAGATAAGGTCATATACTTTTACACAATTTTATAAATGATGTTGATGTCATACATTACATTGTCTAACCTGTTACGGATCATAATGATGTTATAAAAAAGGAAATTAAAATGTATATTAATAGCTTTCGAATCTATTCATGCACTGTGTGCTGTTTGATTTAATACTTCAATTCAGTACATTGACACGTCGCACAATAGAGTCTTTAGACAGTTGTGACCTTGAGAAAATACTGCGGTTTGTTCCTTTCTTTTGGTTAGTATTATTAATAATCATTTGTACGTGTTTGTTGTTTATTATATTTCCTTTTAAAGTAAACAGTGCATTTCATCTACATTGTCTATCTCCACGTGTCTTTATTACCTGTAAATTTTTTGTAACCATCAAAAACCTATCGCTTTAGATACTTACATACTGTTAGCAGAGTTTGCAAAATGTCCATTGAAACCGCTAAGCCATTTTTAGTCCATTGGCCAACCCTACTGTTAGATACTCGCATTATGTTACCTCATAAAAAACAATGATATTAATTCCCTTTTTTGTGCTTATATTAAATACTTTAATTTTTCCTTACAAGATTTTTAATTTCATTATTGTTTATTACCTACAGTTATTATATCCAACCAATCTCGAAAATCTATTTTTGAAAATATATCTTATCGATTTTTTAAATTTTTAATATTAAAATCTACTTGTTACTTTACTGATTTATTTATTTGTCCGTTATTTTTTACATTATTTGTTTTATCTGATTTTTTTTTACTGGTTACTTTATAAAATTTCCAAGATTCGTTTGTTAGTAATTATCTAACTTGTAATAAACTTTCATCGTGAATTCATAAAAAGTACTCTAAGAAAAAAAATATTTTTGATTTCTTACATTTTAATTATAAATTGTCATTAATAGGTTTTTTTTTTTTTTGTTATTAGTCAGCGTTAATTCTATTATTGATTCTTCTTGAATAATATCTCAAAATTTTTTAAATAGAAAAAAAAATATTTTCGTTGTATGTAACAAACACGCATTTAGCCAATTATATTTTGTTTTTAGAGATAAGGTTACAAATATTTTTATTGGTTGTATTAAGTAATCTATTATAAATAAGCATATTACAAATAGATTTATCTTATGCACTTAAAGGAATAATATGCACAATTACTACATTCAACATATATTCGTTGGTTTTTAGAACTCTTCAAAATTCATATTAGCGGAGTTTATGATCTACCAATCAAAATTTTGTATTTATTGCGAATTTGTTCCACGTTGATTAGTTGATTTATTTATTAAAGTAATTAAAATGCAAAGCCGAAGCTTTTTTTTAATATTGAGGTTTGAAATTTATATTAAATGAGACCTTAAGGGTAGAGTGTACTATTTTAATTTATTTTTGATCAAGATAAAGTCATATTTTTATTAATGATTTGTAATAAATCTTTAACGAAGATTTAATATGAAATTACATTACAAGAATTGAGATCAGACTAATTTATTTGTAATCTAACCTACTTAAGTTAAATAGTTATATATTATTTAAAATATAATTAAATATTTAATTTATAAATTGCAAGTTTAATAAAAAGACAAAAATTCGTATGAGTCAATTTTTTTTGATTTGAATTGATTATTAAAAATTAAATAAAAAGAAGTTATAAAATTTATCAAATCATTTAAGATCATTTAAGTGATATTATTGTAATAATATAATAAAATTGAATTGTATGATGGAACTTGATTGGTTAATGATCTTTTTCATTATAGATTGTATTAATATTTCTACTGATTTTAATTATTGATTGGTTGATTGTTTTATTATGTTTATGAAACTGCTGCTATAAATCATATTAATTTTTGTCTTTTAGTGATTTTAATTAGTAAAATTTATAATTATATTTCTGTGATTTAAATAATACGTAATATTTTTTTTTGAGTTTTTACCCTTTATTTATAGGGTTGCATTGCGGCGTACTTTATTATACAATATTAAAAGTTATTTACAATATTAATTTTGAATAAGAATTATCGGAAGGTTTAAATGCTCTCTAAATTTAGATACTTACCTATCATTATCTTTTTCTTGTTTTTACCTACCTCTAACATCCCTTTTAATTCTTTTTTTAATGCGATTATTAATTGCGAATAATACGTAAATTTTAGTATAAATGATAGTTATTTGATTTCATTATCACTTTATTTTAATAATCACCAATTTGCCATCAAAAATCCTGGCCTATACGTAAAAGATTTATATAGTTAGTCAAATTACTTACAAATATAATATAAATATATTTTATAGTGTCACGCTCTATCTTTACGGAACCCATGGAGCCCGGATGTTTGATGGAAATTTATAATTATTAAAATAAAGTGATAATGAAAAATCAGAAAATTATAGGTATAATTTAAATTTACGTATGGTTTCGATTACAGGATAATTAAATCATTTAGACAAAACATCATTACAATTATAAGCGGTTTCATAACGGTTTCATAAGTATAATAAAACGATTAACTAATCAATAATTAAAATTATTATAAGCGGTTTCATAAGCAATTTATAATTAAGAAAAGCAATTAACCAATCAAATTTAATCATATTATACTTTTAATTTTACCTTAAATGATCTTAAATGATTGGAGTAAATTTTATGAATTTTTATAATCTAATTTTTAATAATCACCAAATCATAAAAAATAAAAAAAAAATCCGCTCATACCGCTACGTGTTTCGGCACTGAACCTAAGAACCGCACAAAAATGGGCGGCACTTTGGCCTGCATTAACGTAATTTGTGCCTATTCCTCATCTGTCTTTGACCGTCATTCATATTTCAATAAACTAGAAATGCGATCAGGATATCCGCTAGTTTAATTTTATAACAAATTATTTTTATTAAGAATCCGGATATCCGGATATTCGTTAAATTTTAAGTAGGAAAACGTATAATGGATCGCATCTCTACAATAAGCAATGCAATTTTTGTTTAAAATTTTTAAAATTGTCAGAGAATCAAAAAATCTTTTAGAATTCGACAAGCTTTGTTATTTCAAATTACCGTATCGACTATTTTGTTTAATCATACTAAAATATATATGTAATTTGTTATTTTTTTTTTAATCAAAAATAACTTTTGATATATTTAATAATTTTATTACCAAAAATGTTCGTCTCAGTGAGACAATTCTAACAAGCTTAAAATCATCTAAATTCAATTACTGCTTCATGAGATACTGAAGTTTTTACGCACTTATAATGTGGGGTAATCGGTTAGACATTGGTCAACCAATTACCCCACATTAGGTGCGTCATATCCTTTTCAAAAACTTCAATATCTCTATGAACCAGTAATTGGATTTTGATGATTTAAGGTTTGTTAGAATCGTCTCATTGAGACGAACATTTTGGTAATAAAATTATTAAATATATCAAAAGTTATTTTTGATTAAAAAAAAAATAACAAATTACATATATTTTAGTATGATTAAACAAATTGGCTGAGATGCTAATAACTGCAGAGATCACATACTGTATTTTTGCACCAGCGATAAATTAAAGTAACGTTAGATTTTCTAAGAATTCTAAGAATTTGACCATTTCCTTATAGATTCTATATTATTTCTCTTAAGTGTATTCCGTATATAAAATACGGAATTATACTAAATATTTCGTATAATTCATTTAAATTCTGCATCTTTTTTTTTTTTTTTTTATAGGGTATATAAAAAAAAGATATAAATTAAATAGCTCGTATTTTCAGAGGTAAAAGTTTTATAATTGAATTCAAAATTCATTCCATAGTAAGAATAACATTAGTAACATTAGTATAATTAAATCAATTGTTCCATAACAAGAATAAGATTATTAATATAATTAAATAAAATAATGGATAATAATTTATTCAAGTTTAACTTACATAAAAAATAAAGGTCCTAAAACCAGAAATCCATTAATTAGAAAGTACGAAAAATGTAGAAGGAAAAGACTTCGTAGAAATGAAAAAAAAAAATCCAACAATGTAATTTTTGTTG